TTGTCTTACAGAACGCCTTAGTCGCAAAAGGTATGCCTTGCTATAGCAGTTCGAATTATATCTTTCCACGGCCTATACTATTTTATTGTGTTCCTTCTGTTTTAATACACTAGTCAAACTTCGAGGTAACAACTCTGCGAATTGATGTGAACCCTGATGGTCGGCATAGCGAAGTTGCTTTTACCACGGACTGGAAACTCGACGCTAATCGAAGAGATTTAACGGTGAACTCTATGTTCTTGTCCATCGACTACAGTAACCTTCCGGCGCCTTCCTTGGATGACCTCACCGGTGAACTGACCAAAAATATCAAATCTCTTCGAGGGACCCTGTACGATTACTTCAATGGACTGCAGGACCTGTCAGTGCGGCATATACGCTTTGTTGGGGATCCTGCTGAACGAATTAAGGAGGACTATCTCAGAATCCTGCGATACTTTCGTTTCCATGGAAGGCTCGCTACAGATTCCGAACACCATGAGGAAGGCACCTTAAAGGTACTCCAAACAACCTTGTTTTCAAATCTTCATCCTACTTTTCCTGACCTACTCTTTCCCTTATCGATTGGCATTTTTACACTTTAGGCCATCGCTGAAAATAGTGAAGGCTTGCGGAATATAGCAGGTGAACGTATCTGGGTGGAGCTGAAACAAATCCTCCTCTATCCCTCCGCACCCTCATTGCTGCGACACATGTCTCTGACGGGCGTTTGCGAGGCCTGTGGCCTCCCCTCTGACCTTAATTTAGATGAATTGGACAATGTATGGTCCCGCGGCATCCTAGAGCTCTCACCCAACCCCGCTGCCTGCCTGGCCGCCGCTCTGAACACTCAAGAAGAGGCAAGTAAATTTGAACTACTGTTTTCGGATACCTGCATGTCTCATTCATGTGAGGGGAAAGAAGCCTCTGCTTATTTCAGCTTCGTAGGCTCAAAATCCGGAAAGGAGGTTGACCTAAGAGTGTCCAAAAGTGGTAGTTACTAGCCATCCATGCACTCTTTTCTGGTCGTCCGCTGTGCTATGAACGTACTAACAATACTTTGACATAAGCTTTGACACCACTATAGGCAGGTTGGTTATTTTACTTGTATCATAATTATCTTGAAGATTGTCACTAGATGGAGAACGTTTAAACCACCGCACGTCCTCGTCCGTTTCTTGTTCTTATTTTCTGGAATTCCTCTGACGATTCCTTGAATAAAGTTGCGCAGATGCGCGACGTCATGTCTCACGCACTTTCTAGACAACCCGGTAGTAGATATAAGCAGCCATCTCAACCAAATAGTCGTCTTGGACCCGCTCTGTTGAAAGTTAAGGTGAAGCGTCCGATTTGTTGTAACAACGTCATCGTCGGCGAAGCTGATTTCTCTGTATGAAATTGTAATCATAATGAACCAGTAAGATGTAAAAGATGAAAGCGACTCTGTCGATATTTATCTGCAGTCGTAGGCTAGATATAAAGAGTTATTGCCAATTATTATCTAGCTCTGGAGTTGCCTCGACCCCACCATTGTCTTCCATAGCTCCATATTCATCAACTTCTATTGCTTTCTTCTTAAATACCTTAAAAAAGTTTGTCTTCGATCTCATTTCAAACTTCTGTTCGTCCTGGGTTTGTTTTTACCACCACAAAAATTTACACTATCGCCATCGAATGCTATTTCTGTCCTATGATCACTGTTCTGACCTCCTTCCATCGTTGGTTATTTTTCCAACTAGTCCAGTATTCTCTTGAGGGGTCTACTTTTATCACATCTCTCTTTTAAATTATTGAAAATGACGACGACAGGAATTCCGACCACAGGAGACCGACCCACCCGAAGTGACTACCAAAAGATGGGTCTTGCCTGCGCACATTTTCGTCGACTGCCTTTAACGTTCACGACTGTCGGGCATTCAAACCATACTCGATCAAGACTAGCTGTGAAAGAAGGCAACTTAGCTCTAACTACTAAATAGCCATCAACGGGTAGTGACCGCTATAGCGAACTGTGGCCATTGAAAGTCTGATAAACTTGTAAG